ACTTATATGAATAAGTGCACTTATATTGTAGATGCCAAACAATTCATTTTATAAAATAAAATACAATAAATTAATATATTTATTGTTGTCTGATTAAACTATTCTTTTATATATATGAGCAATGTTAGGTGGTCCGAAAAGGAGGTTGGCTCAAATGGCTCGAATTTTATCTTGCCGATCGTCCGGCGAGGAAGCTGACAGCCGCAATCGACGAAGGTGACAACCGCGGTAGACAAGCTTTCATTCCATCATCCAGACAGACATCCAACCAGTCGTTCGGATAGACGTCCAACTAGTCATTCGAGCAGATGTCTAGCTAACACACATTCGAGCCGCTCCTTTTCGGCCACCAAGCATTTTGTGTTTTTTAATCGGCTAGATTTCCAAACAATGCAAGGGCAAGGGCATTTGTGTAAAACGCTCTTTAAACCCTACCCGAGGATATCCAAAACCCCAATAGGGGCTGCTCTCTCTCACCGCTAGGTCTCTCACTTCTCTCCGAGCTTCTTCTTCTTCTTCTTCTTGAGTCAAATGGCGAAACGTTTGATTCCTTCTCTGAATCGGGTTTTGGTGGAGAAAATCATTCCTCCATCGAAGACCAATGCTGGAATCTTACTCCCAGAGAAGACCTCCAAGGTGATATTCATTCATTGCCCAACAATTACCCTCATTCTCTCGCCAATTTTAGATTTTGATCATATTTTTTCTTTGAAATTATTGTTTTTCGTTTCTGTATATTGTTTAAATCTGTACAATTTCATGCTTATTTGATGAAAAGACCTATTATCTAGATCTGGGTTTGAGTTAATTGAATTTTTTTGACTTGAAGTTAGGTTTTTATTGTGATAATTGTTCTTCTCATTCTTGGCTTTCTCTAATATCATGTTGTTAGTTGTTAGCCCAAAAACTACTGTTTGGTTGCTGGGAAAGCAAAGAAAAATGAAAGAAAACAAAATTTGAGTATCATGCTTTTTGTTCTTTATGCCAGTAAAACTACCAGAAGTAATAAAATTAGACAACCTACAAGACACCTGAATTTCCGTGGTTCAGCGTTGAGAGAAATGTTTAGTTTTATGGTCTTATGGATGAATCAACTGTACCCATTCAGAATGATTTCCCAGGGTTTATGTTATTCACAGATGATTGATATTGTTCTTGAAAAACATTTTTTACACATACATCTTTGCAATCTGTGTGCTGAGTCTTAAGAAGCTCATGGATACTTGGTAGGTCTTACTTTAAATTTTTTTAATATGAATTCTCTCTCTCATACATATAGTAATTTTTTGGGAGTAAAATTGATTATACAAATAAGAAAATTGGCTAAATCTTTAGTGCTCCTCTCTCTATTTGATTTTTATTTTTTAATGAGCTGTTGTTCATAGAAAATTGGCTAAACCATTAAAGGTATCTTACTTCTTTAATATGTTGCTTGGCTTCCATTGGGATTAAATTTTTCAATTTACTTTTAGTGTACGATTTTTTATTTTTATTTTTAACTTTAATATTATCATTTGTAAATGTTCTGCAATAATAGATTAATTTGCAAGAATAGATAGATATTTATTAGATAAAATATAATTTATCTAGTTTAATGTAATTTATCATCTAGATTAAAATGTAATTTATTTAATTTAATCTTAACATTATGTTTCTTAAATGGATTTAATTTATTAAAAGGTTTTGGATTTGAATTAATACTCGATGGGTTATATTTTTTAAATGGGTTTTAATTTGTTTACATTTTCTGAGCAATATTTAGTTTTTCTATGTTGTGTGCTTTGGTATAATATCACATAACACTTTATTAGTTGATTAGGAAGCATCATAATCTAAATTTTAATATGCTACATTACAATAAATTAAATGAGGTTTTGAAAAACAATAAGCAATCTTATTTTCAAGATCCGAAGGAATTTAATTGGGTTCATGAATATTATATAGATATGGTTTGCGTAAACTCCTCATCATGGTCTTACTTTGTAAGTTATTCATGTAGAGTACAGTCTGTTAAATATATTTTTATAACTGCATTTTAATCTTAATATTATTTACACCATGCCTTTAGGCATGGGCATACGCTAGTATATATATAAAATAGAAAAATTGATGAAGACATATATATCAAAAAATTTCAAAACATATATATCAAAAAAAATTGATGAAGACAGATTATATATATGATCAAAACACATGAAGACAGATCGTATAGATGGAGATCAAGACAGATCAAAACATATATATATATATATATATATGAGTATGTACATAGATGGAGATCATACCAGAGACGGAGAGTACACAGATCGAAGGTGAGGATTAAGAGGGAGACAGAGTGAAACCAAAGAAAGGGGGTTCCGATCTTGAAGGAGAAGGGGGAGATTGGGTTCTGATCATGGAGGAGATCATGGAGGAGAAAGGGTTCCGATCATGGAGGAGAAGGCGGAGTGGTTTGAGAAGAGGGAGACAGAGTGAGAGACTGAAAGGGAGAGAGAGTGAGAGAGGGGTTTCGACCATGGAGGGGAAGGGAGAGTGGCTTGTGCTCTGTTTGATTTCAGCCATGGAGGAGAAGACAAAGTCAGAATGAGAGGGAGAGGAAGAATAAGAGCTGTGGAGGAGAATGAGAATGAGAAGAGAGTGGATTATTCTAGATGTATGGAAAAATAAGGTGATGCCTCAGTGTAATAAAGAGCCGTTGGGCTCTATTAGGTTTGTTTTAAAAAAACAAATTTAAATTATTTTTTACAACAGCTCTTTTAAACAGTTATTTGCCAAACGGTAATATATTTAATTTCTATAAATTGAAACCCTCCATGCCACTTTTATTTCACACAAACATTTACATTTAATTTTTCTTTTCTCCTCTCTTCTTTGAATCTGATTTCACAGCAAACCTCTTAAATTATTTTCTTTTTAGTTTTTTCATCCAATCACTCTGGAAGGTTGAGACAGAGTGAGAGACTGAAAGGGAGAGAGAGTGAGAGAGGGGTTTCGACCATGGAGGGGAAGGGAGAGTGGCTTGTGCTCTGTTTGATTTCAGCCATGGAGGAGAAGACAAAGTCAGAATGAGAGGGAGAGGAAGAATAAGAGCTGTGGAGGAGAATGAGAATGAGAAGAGAGTGGATTATTCTAGATGTATGGAAAAATAAGGTGATGCCTCAGTGTAATAAAGAGCCGTTGGGCTCTATTAGGTTTGTTTTAAAAAAACAAATTTTAATTATTTTTTACAACAGCTCTTTTAAACAGTTATTTGCCAAACGGTAATATATTTAATTTCTGTAAATTGAAACCCTCCATGCCACTTTTATTTCACACAAACATTTACATTTAATTTTTCTTTTCTCCTCTCTTCTTTGAATCTGATTTCACGGCAAACCTCTTAAATTATTTTCTTTTTAGTTTTTTCATGCAATCACTCTGGACGGTTCATCAAAAACAAAGAGAGGAAAATCATTCATCATTGAAGAAGACATGGCAATTTGTAAATCTTGGTGTCACATTTCGGAAGACCCAATTGTTGGCAATTCACAATCGTATGCTCACTTTTGGGGGAGAATTTACGAAAATTTTTGCCTGCTTCAGAATGATCAGTCTAGAACACAAGTGTCTCTTCAATCTCGATGGGGTATAATCATGAAATGTTCTAACAAATTTCAGGGATGTTTAGCTCAAGTCGAAAATCTTCACCCAAATGGGATTCTCAAGTTGATATAGTAAGTTTTTATTTTCAATTATTATGTTTAGTTTCTTATTCTCAGGTATCGTAGAAAAATTACGTAATTAAATAATGTTTCAATTGTTTTTAAATAGATGCTTCAAGCAAAACTGTTATACCATCAAGATGAAAACAAACATTTCGTTTTTGAACATTGTTGGCTAATATTGCAAGACAATATCAGGTGGCAAAATGTAGCTCCCACGAATACGGTAAAGTCAAGGATGCATACAGTGTTTACCCCTAATTCAGCCCCTAATTCCCCTATGGAAAACTGCATTTCTCTTGAAGACGACAACAGTCCAAGTGTTGGTAACAATCCAACTGTTGGTGAGGGCAGTGTCCTTGGAATGGGTAAAAGGCCGATGGGTAGGAAATCTACAAAAGAATTATTCCAGAGAAATCAAGTCACTGAAACTGAAGTTCAAAAAATAAGCATACAATTAGACACATTTAACCAACACCTTACTGAGAAAGAAAAGAAAAAAGAGGAAATAGAAGAAAAAAGGATTCAAGCACTGTAGGAGATGAAAGAACTTGAGATGAAAAAGCATGAGTTTGAGATGAAAAAGGAAGAACACCAAATAATGACTACGGACATTTCTCATTTGGACCCTCAGATGAAAGCGTATTACACAATGCGAAAAAATGAGATTTTCGCCAAGTGGTCCTCAAATGTGAGCAACCCAAATTTTTATTTCCCCTTACCTCCTGATGAATAATTACGGGATAATGTATTTTTGAAATTTGCAATATCATTTATTTTTTGATGTAATTGTTAGTCTTTATTTGCAATGTAATTTTTATTTTGTAATGAAATTTCATTTTTTTTTTTTTTTTGAGTATTTTGTACTTCACAATGCAAAAAAAAGACATTTTATGAAAAGACATTAATTGACATTAAAAAAATTGTAAAATAAAAAGTCATTAAATGAAGAACATTTTATTAGAATAAAAAGACATTAACTGATATTAAATGACATTAACTGTCATTAAAAAGATAAAATGCAAACTTAATCTAACTCTCCAGCTCGGGATCACAAGTGTTCAATTAGATCATTACGAATTACATTATGGGCTTCAATAGATCTAATCCTTTGCCGATTTAACATAAATTAAGCATACTCCTCATTCGGATCGCGTGACACTTGACAGCCCAAATTGCTGGTATCAGTCTCAAGTTATCGTCTTCAATGATCATGTTGTGCAAAATAATGCACGTCTTCATGATGTAGTACAGATCCTCATCACTCCAACCTCTAGCTGGCACTCTTACAATATTAAATCATGCTTGGAGCACTCCAAATGCCCTTTTGACATCTTTCCGACATGCCTCCTGCATCCTCGCAAATAGTTGTCTCTTTGCGCCTTGAGGTTGAGATATTGTTTTCACAATCGTTGCCCAACGAGGATAGATACAATCAGCAAGATAATACCCCATGGTGTACGCGTGGTTATTGATGGTGTAGTTGGCAGCAGGGGCACATCTTCTAGTTAATTCAGCAAATAAAGGCGACTTGTCAAGAACAGTAATATCATTTAAAAAGCCAGGCATGCCAAAGAAAACATGCCAAATCCACAAGTCATAGGAGGCAATTGCCTCGAGTACAACTGTTGGTTTGTGATAGTATCCAGTGTAAGCTCCGGTTTGGGCACTTGGACATTTATCCCAACACTAGTGCATACAATCCAAACTCCCTAACATTCCAGGAAACCCGCGTTGCTCTCCCTCTTGCAATAATATGGCGACATCTGCTTCATTTGGAGATCATAAGTAAACGGATTCATAGGTAGTAACAATTGATCTGGTAAAAAAATTTAAGGCGACAATTGCAGTACTTTCACCAATTCTAATGTACTCGTCTACAGCATCAGCAGGCATGCCGTACTGCAGGATCCGAAGTGCTATAGTTATCTTATGTATACCGGATAATCCAGGAGCACCAGTGGCATCATGAGTTTGAATGAAGTACTCATTCACTTGTTGAATATCATGTAAGATACTAACAAACAATGACCGCCTCATTCAAAAACGTCTTTGGAAGTATTCTTCTGGATAGACAGGATTATCTGCAAAATAATCTCTATAAATTTGTCGGTCGCCTTTGACCCTCTCACGATTAATGTATCGACGACCATTTGTGAAACCAACACGTATGGTTGGTTGGTTTAGGCTTAACGTCTGTATTCTTTGTTGTTGCGCTGCGAATAGTTGCATCATGATGATATTATCATCAGATGATGAAGATTCATCAAAATCTCCATTGAATATGGCTTTAGTCAAATTGTTCATTATAGGTGGATGGGTGAGTGGGTGAATATGAAAATTGTAGAAAATCTGCTGGATGGGTACAGAGAGTTTAGAAGATATGAAAATGATGGATAGGTGAATATGAAAATCGTAGAAAACCTTGTGTTATATTTATAGAGAAAATGTGGATGGGTGAATGATGGGTGGTTGTTGGGTGGGTGAATGAATAATGGATGGTTGTTGGGTGGGTGGTGTAGACGTCCCCGAATGCCCCGGGAGGATGAGTCCTCGTTCTGTTCATATTGGGTTCACTACAGTTCAGGACTCTCAAATTGTCACGGTTCTTAATCTGAACCAAAGAGTCCAAATCCGACAAATCGTTTTGAGAAAAACAGATTTTTAGAAAAGAAGTGCCAAACATGGACTGCTTTGCCAGATATAGAGTCGCCACCTAAATATTTTATTTTAGGAAATTTAGGAAACCCTGACTCAGTGCCAAAGGCCACGTGTTCGTCATCACCAAAGTTGTCTCGGCTCGGGAACTTGGGTACAATTGGGGAAGGTCAGCTATGAGCACCCCCTCTCGCCCGATCGAAGATCGGCCTCTACTAATTATGATATCTTGTTTTGAAAACATTACACGTTCCTATTCCGGTTATTAGCCTAGAATTACTATGTTATGCGCACAGCAAACAAGTATAGACTAGATCGCCTAATTCGGAACAAAGCATCGCATATCCGTTTGTTTGGAAAATGTTTTGAAATTTGCTACTCGTGAGTAGGCCAAAACACGGATTTTGATGAGTTGTTCCAACTCAAGCAATCCAACCTTCACCCACAGGCATTCAGGCAGTTCATATCACATAAGCATCTAGCCACGTGGTAAGCATGCTGTCATGTTAACATTCACACTCGTGCGAGATGCTAAAGCACAAAATACTTACAGGGTACTCCAAGCCAAAACAAAGAACTCGTTAGCAATCAATGTATGATCCAAGTCCATGTTGAGTGCCTAATGCAACGCATACAGAATGCAATTAGGATAGGCCCGACTAATCCTAGGATGTCATGTGGAATGCAACCATTTGATGCACATATTCAAGTTTAGATTTGAAATACAATGCAATTAGTATGATGCGCCGAGCCTGATGCATGCAATACTGATGAATGATGCACGCGTGCATAGCATAAGGATGCTAAATTAAATATGTCCTAGTACTAACCATCAAAGCAGGTAAGTAAAAGGGAGAAAGAAGTGGGGGTTGGAAGACATGCACACACGCACCCACACTTATTACAAATTTGCCCTCGCTCGGAGGGACCAAAAGAATAATACAATTAATTAACCTACAAGCTAATTAAATATTACAGACCAATTAAACTAGTTATTAGCGCGCTCGGTTTCGCTCGGGAGTCCATTGCCATGTACAAGTTGCCTCTGTTTTCCCTGCTCTGCTCCTCTAAGAATGGCACAATTCCCAAGGAACACTCTCTGGACATTGGGGAACACCACCGGCCATAAGGAATGGTCACCGACCATGGAGAATAATCACCGGCCACTGGTTAAGCTCTCGGCCATCCATGCTTGGTCGGTCGGTACTAAAGATGGCCGGCCGGCCAAAGCTTCCTGCAGAATCCTGTTTTGACAGCTGTAGAGGGCAAAACAAGGCATGGCAATGCATTCTAAGCCAATGTGTGTACCAACACATCCCTTATCATATTTATGACTCAAAGGGACATAGTTCTTGGTTCTCGGACCACCAATCGCGCATTTCAATGCGTGATGGCCCAAGGGACCAAGTGTGCACTTTGATTTCAAATGTCATGCAATGCACATAAACGAACAAATGGAGCTCAACCTCTATCACAAGCAATTCAAGAGGCAAGGCATGCATGCCAATGCAATGCAATCCTAAGCATGTGAGCCTAAGTATGCAATATGGGCATGCAAGCAAGTAATGTATGTTAGACACACAACCTAGGCAAACAAACATGCAAGGCATGAAGCAATGCAACCAACAAGTATGTAAGACACAATGTGGGTGTTCAAACATGCAAGCAAGCATGTGACTTCATTCAATCATACAACAACACACAAGTATGCGACAACACACAAGGCGAGCATGCAACAACATGTGAACAATGAACTTAAACTGATTCGGGCAGCTCTATACTAAGCCCAAAACAGTGGCCAAATGCTAAGAGAATGATGACCAAATAATCATGCAAGCATGCATGCACACAAGGACCGACACTTAGGTATTGAAGAGCAACTCTCAAGCACACTTAGGAGGATGCAGACATGGAAATATAGCATGCACATTAAGCCTTGAAAATCATGTTAAGAATGGTGCCAAACCAAGTAAACAAGATAGACATGGCATGCAAATAAAACCCAAAATCCGAGACAAGCCAAAGGGCTTAAATCATGATCATGTGACATATGAAGCAAATGATCAAAATGAATCAAATCAGTCCCAAATCATGATAAGGCGAGCCCCAAAAACCACTTAGATGGCATCTAAATGATTTACACATGGAGGCATGCACAAGTGCTTAAACATGGAGTGTACAACACAACCTCTTAAAGCATCAAAGTAGCATTAAATGCAAGCATGTGGGCATGTTAAGTGGACTAAAATGACATGATAAATGGTGCTAAACCACTAAAAATGATGCAAGTAATGCATGCTCATGGTTCACACACTTAAAGCCAACAAGCTAAAATGCAAAGGGGCTATACGAAGCATGGCAAGCATGGCTAAGACAACCTACATCAGACCTTAAGCATGGCAAAACAAGCCTAAAAGCTTCACAAAGCTTGGCCAAAACAAGCAGGCATGGTGATCTACATGCTAAGTACATGTTAAGGCAAAATGATGGCATTACAAGACATGTATGTAAGGCATGCAAGGTGTGTTTAAACCAACATGAAACAGAGGTAATATATGGAAAAATATTACCAAATAACAGTTAAGGCATGGCCAACATGGACCTAAACTAGGTGCTCACACATGAGGCAAAAATGGCCCTTTTTAGGGACAACAAGGAGAGGGGGTGACCCTTTCCTTCTAAGGACCCTAAACCACCATCCTCACTACTGAAATCCCTCAAGATTTCAATGGTGAGGAGGGCCAAACAAGGTGGTCCCGAAACTCACCAAAAATAACACAAAATGTGGCCAAACAAGGCCTAAGAGGGGTCAAACAACCCCAAAGCTTAAAACACCCTTAAACAACTATTTAGAGCAGGCAAAAACAAGGCTTTTATATGTTATACACAAAGTCTAAAAACAGTCGCAAGATGGGCAAAAAGACTATGCAAATATGGGGTAAAAAGGAGTAAGTTCTTACCCTTGTTGACCTTCTTCAAGAATGATGCTCCAGCTGGTCCTCAAAGCTCAAAACCAGTCAAGAACACCAAGAACAACCCTCTGGCCCCTTAGCAACCAAGAGAAGGTGTAGAACTAGGCGTTTGTGCACAAAAGTAAGACAAAAACACACACAAGGCAAAAGAGAAAGAGAAATATAGAGATAGGATAGAGACACTATGACCTAACCCTAATATTAGAACTCCTCTGGCTTTTTTTGTAACCCTAATGGAGGGAGAAGATGCCTCCTCTTATAGAGCTTCCCTCTTGCAAAGCTTCTCAAGTAAGCTAGTCAAGAGGGAGATCCCTCTATACACGTGTATGGAGAGGAACAAAGTGTATGCCAGCTAGCACAGTGTAACAACCCTCACTTCAACTTAGTCATACTTGCACACATTTATGTATGATCTTGTTTTGTTATGCACATTTGCAAATCTTGTCTTGTTTTGCTCGAGTGTTGCTTGCATGCTTGTTCTTGCCTGGCGTTGCCAAGGTCATCTTAAGCCTAGACACCTTGGAACCTTCCTACACTTAGAACTATCTTGTAACCACTTCGGTTGACCTCCATTTTCACCCTGGCATATTGGCCGAGATGTCACCATCTAGGCCGAGGTGCGCGTCGCCTAGGCCAAGATGTGCATCATCTAGGCCGAGATGTTAATATCTAGGCGTTCTAGATCCTTGATCCTTGCACTAGTGATTTTGTTCCTGGAATGGTATGACCTAGACCGAGGTGTGGCACATCTAGGCCAAGGTGTGGCACAGCTTAGTCAAGTGTTGTCCTTCCAAGCCGATGTCATTGTCACCCTGCTTGCCGGAGCTTTGCCCTTAGCCGAGATCATCACTTGCCGGAGTACTCTTGCCGTCTAGCTTGTTGAACACACCTTGTCATGGTCTTGTCTAATCAGTCAGTGACCTTTTCGAGTAGAGCCAACCAGCCGATGCCACGTGTCCCAGCAGAGGGATTAAGTCAGTGACTGTCGAGAGAAACATATCATTTTGTATCAAATCTTGCTTTTAGAGAGAGAAACTCTAGGAAGAAGGAGGAGAAGTTTTGAGTGAGAAAGTGAACTTCCAAGCTTGATCGTTGGAGCTTGGACCGTTAGATTCGAGTTTTGAGGTTAGAATCCTAACCTACTCTTGTTGTTCTTATTGATCATCTAGCTGCATTGCACGATCGAATTTGTTCTGCATGCCATGCATTGATTTAAAGTTGGTTTTAGAAAGAGAAAACGATTTTCATGTGTTCTTGAAGAAAAGTCTTGTTTTGATCCGAA